CTCCATCACGGATGGGCTGTCAGCCTGCCACGAAAGGATGGCGATAGGCGACTCTCATTGTGTCTCCTATTCTTAATTTCTTAGAAGTCACAGACTCACCCTCAGAGTCACAACTGCGATCCCGGGCCAGGAGGCAGACTCGCTGGGTAAACCTCTTCCGCCACATTGACCTTCGGGAATTGCGGGGATACAATCAGGGCATTCGTTCGTCTCAACTGCGGCTTTCTTCACGGTGACCGCCTTCCGGTCTTAGCCCTTCAACCCACTAATGCCCGCAGAGCCTGAGTCTGAGCCCAACTTTGCCAGAAAGCACTGGACGACACTGGAACAGACCTGCTCCCTGTACGGACATACACTATGTACATAGTAGACGGATATGCACGTCACGGTCCCTCGCAAAACCCGGATCCTCTTGCGCTCACTCAACCCGACTCAGCATCCATGAAGCCTGTTCAAATCCTACAGGAATCACCTTGTCTGCACGAGTAGGGACGAAGTCTGGACAACGGGTGTTCCGTGTCCAACGTCTCTTGCGCATTGGCGGACCACCGATGTGATCTCTCGCTTTGGTGAAAGAAGATACATTCCAAGCTATCACCAAGGGAGATGGAGCGGTGTTGAGAGCTCTTTGCCAAGAACCGGTTCAGCCGTACCGATGTCACCTACGAAGGCGTATGTCAGTTAAGAGGGTCTTGTCCACCAGCAGGTGTCACCGCTCATCGGTACTTACGCGGACCTCTCGGCGCCCAGTACTCGCCCGTCTTGGAAATGTCGAGCTTTGTTGTCCATTTGATGAGACTCTCGGCGGCTTCGTCGGGGGTAACGGCTGCGACACTCAGATGTTAATGATCCTTATGAAACTCACCGGGCCGCCTACGCCCTCAAAGATATGAAGTACTTACCACCGCCATCGTCCCAGTACTTGTCGAATCCCACGCCTTTGGTCATCTCAGTACGCATGAAACCCGGGTGCACGATACTGATGATGACGCCCTTGTCCTTCAAATCGAGACTCAACAGCTTGCCCACCATGTTCAATGCGGCCTTGGATGCGTGGTGGGCATAGTTGCCGCCGCCCTCCTTCTCGTGTCGGAGGGTGATGCTCCCGGACTCGGACGAGACGAGCACAACCTTGGAGTCCTTTTGGAGAAGACCGGCGTGCGCGAGCGCGTGGACGATGAAGACCGGGGCGATGGAGCTCGTTGTGTACATGCGCTGCTCCTCGGCCCAGTTCGGACCCTTTTCGGTGCTGAAGTCCTCCGTCGCGAAGTAGCCTGCCGTGATGATCTACTTCCCCGCCAGTTATTCAACACACTCTCCGGCAGCAGCAGGACGGGTGCATAAGAGGGAGCCACTTACCACCGTCGACAGCGGCTTCGAACCACCGAGCACACTGACTAGGGTCTTGCCGACATTCTCGTCCATCAAGTCGATACCTGGGAGCCACTTTACGGCATCGGGGAAGCCTTCGGGTCCTTGTTCGGAACGCGTGGTGCCGTTGACGGTGTTGCCCGCGTCAGCGGCATACTGTTTGACGAGGGACGCCCCGAGGCCTCGCGTGCCGCCAACGACTAACACAGGAGACATGTTGGTCTGGCACTTGTGACCTGTTTATCTTTGGAACTCGTATGTGCTGGTATTTGTGTTCTATTTTCGTTTTATTCCGGGCTCACTCTCAAACACTGCTGGAATGCGGCACCCGTTGGGGGAACTAAATTGGAGGGGCTTCGAGGGAGTCGGTTGAGGAATGTGAAGGGAATGGTTGAAGTGGTGAGTAACCTAAGCTACTAGAGCTACCTTATCGTGACGTAGGTGTCGCAGCGTGATGGCGGCTGGCCCAATGAAGCATGGCGAGCCGCATCACTGTGAATGGCGGGGGAGGGGCCTGAAATCACGTCTTATCGATAAAGTTGGTGTGACCATCGTATTGCTGACTGATCCGTTGTCTCGACTCGACCATCGAACCTCTCTTTCGTGAGTTATTCACAGGTATCTTGGCAATTAGAAAGCCTCTACTGCTCAAATACACTTGAGACGAGAGTCAATTCTGTACATAAACTTGGGCCATTTGAAGTTCTGCTTCCGACGGCGGCAAAGCTGCGGCTTTGATAAATATATCATGACCAACCGTTGGCAACGCACGTGGAGAGCATTAGATCTATCAAAACAGATGTGAAAAGAATTGCCTGCGCCCGCTTCAATGTATAAACTTCCTCTGATCACGATTCAATTGGGCGAGGACAAGCGATTGAATGGATGGCAAGCTGTCACAAAAAAAAAAAAAAAAAAAAAAAAAAAAAAAAAAAAAAAAAAAAAAAAAAAAAAAAAAAAAAAAAAAAAAAAAAAAATAAAAAGGGGGAGAAAAAAGAAAAAAAAGAAAAAAAAAAAAAAAAAAAAAAAAAAAAAAAAAAAAAAAAAAAAAAAAAAAAAAGTGCCGACAAACGTGTTCATGAAACCAATAACGCGGTTTAAGTTTCGAGTAAGATGCTACTACATACAACGTAGCTGTCAGTAGCATCCTGGCGCAGTGACGTTTGAGTTCACCTAATGAGGCAAACGGGTGGTGTTTGCCCCTTCAACCATCCCATCGAATTCGTATTCGTTCCAATGGGTTCTTAGATAATGACAGCTGTGAAGGTGCTCCAATGCTCGATAGCTTCATGCACTCCATTTCAGTAGCTGCAAGTCAACTGAGCCAAATCATATCTAGCAAACATGGCCCTCAATTACGGATCTATTGTGTTGTACATTGTTGAGATCACGATTACATATGTTTGCCTTTTGAACGCCCACGTTTAAGGAAGCTCTCACGCTGACCAGGTATTATAGTACTTTTTACTCGGCATCTACAATCTCTACTTCCACCCGCTTCGTCACTACCCAGGACCAATCCTGTGGCGCTTCAGTCCGGTGCCGAAGAACATCTACCTCCTGACAGGCAGATACGCCGTCAAAGCTCGCGAAATCCACGAGACCTACTCTGGCGCCGTTCGCGTAGCTCCCAACGAGTTATCCTACATTCAACGTACAGTCACCGCACCTCACCTCATCTCCCCCCCCCCCCCCGATGATTCACTCCGGACCAACAGTTCACAATACTAACACGCATAAACAGCACAAGCATGGAAAGACATCTTAGGCCGCCCGCTCAAATCCGAAATGGCCAAAGACATACGCTTCTTCGGCGGCGAGAATTTCGGCCGCGACAGCCTCGTTACGACGAGACCGGAAGACCACACCCGCCAGCGCCGCATCTTCACACACGCCTTTTCCAACACGGCGCTCAAGGCGCAGGAGTCCTTGCTGGTGGACTACGCCGACCAGATGGTCGAGGCGATGGGCTCGCTCGCCCAGCGTGAGTGTCAGCGCCAGCGAGCGCACGGCGGCGAGGGTGAGGATGAAGCATTCGGATCCGTCAACATTGTAGATTTGTACAACTTTGCCACATTCGATATCATGGCGGACCTGACATTTGGCGAACCGCTTCTGCTTCTGAAGAGGGGCGATTACACGCCCTGGGTGCGCAACGTCTTTGCGGGTCTCAAGTTTGTCATCTACGGGCTCGTCTTCCTTGAGATTCCGGTCCTGGGACCGCTTGTTCAGGCGGTTACGTCTGCGCCGCTGAAGAAGAAGGCGCAGGAGCATACCGACTTTGCGGGCCAGCTCGTCGATCGGCGGTTGAGGGAGAGACAAGCGCATCCGAAGCCTGATATTTGGAGTTTTGTACTTAAGCACAACGACGGCGACAGCAGCGACGATGATAGAACTAAGGGCAAGGAGAAAGGTCTATCGAATAAGGAAATGCACGCCAACGCGGCCATGTTCATGGTCGCCGGGACGGAGACGTCAGGGACGGTGTTGTCCGGCACGACGTACTACCTGCTGCGGAACCCGCGGGTATACGATATTTTGACGAGGGAGATCCGGGCTGCGTTTGCGAGGACGGAGGATATTTGCGTCGACGGGCTTGTGCGGTTAGAGTATTTGACCGCGGTGCTGATGGAGGGGTTGAGGATGTATAACCCCGGCGGGGCGGGGATGCCGAGGATCGTGCCGCGGGGAGGGGCGGAGGTTTGTGGGGAGTATATTCCGGAGGGCGTACGTTCTGGACCCTTGTTTCTTCCTTTATATCTTCCCCTGTTGCATAGTTACGTGATGAAGATAATGCTGTTTGGTGAGCTGGGAAGTTCAAGCGGAAGCTTACAGTGAGATGACAGACTCTAGTATCCGTCAACCCCTACTCGGCCTTCACGAACCCGGAGAACTGGGCCCGGCCGAACGCGTTCGTCCCGGAGCGGTGGATCCATATGGATGCGCCGGAGTGGAAGGGTGACAAGAGGGACGTACACGAGCCGTTTTCGTATGGGCCGAGGAACTGTCTGGGCAAGAAGTGAGTTACCACCGACTACTAGCACCCTACTTTTGCCACTTGTGTATCTTATCCTTCCGTTTGCTGACGAAGAACCTTGTGTGTGCTTTGGTCTAGTCTTGCGTGGTTGGAGTTGCGTCTGCTGCTGGCCAAGACGCTATGGCACTATGATCTGGCGCTCTGCCCCGGTATGGAGTCGTGGGTTGTGCAGAGGAATTATATTACGTGGGAGAAGGGGCCGCTGGTGGTGAAGCTGAAGCCTGTTCAGAGGGATGAATGAAAGATGTGCTGTTCTCATCGTGTAGGAGGTGAGGGTAGAACACGGTATGGATTATCTTGTTTTGTTTATCAAGGGTATACATTTACCAAAGCCTGAGTTGAAATGTGAAAGATGCTTTCGAAAACCGATACGTTATATGGCGATACACCAAGCGCCTATCGTCAAAAGTAAAAGCTGTGACCAAAAAAAGCACAGAGTTTACTAGCGATGGAAACTCGTTATTTACATCATATATTTCGGCGAGATTCTGAGTCACAGAGATTCCCCCAATAATGTGTTATATTGCCTAATGAGAAAGTATGTACAATGAAATGGAAAACTACCCGATCATGGTTCTGTAATTCTGTCGACTCAGTAAACTCCAATGGCTTCACCGACAACGCTCTTGAACATTCCGTTCGGGTCAAACTTCTCTCTGACGGCCTTGAAACGGGCAATGTGCTACAATCCATTGTCAGCAAACCATCACTTCTACATTGAACGGCGTGGTACCAAAACTTACATCGGGGTCGATGTTCTTCGCGGCCTGGGCAAAGACCTCGCGGGTATTCTTGGTCCAGTGAGGGCGGCAGGGGAACTCGTCAATGAGGACCTTGGCCAAGTTGTGATCTAGCAACAAAAACAAGTCAGTTTATATCCCTCCTTCATCAAGAAGCGGTGGTGCATTGAGCATCTCGCTGGGAAATTCACTCACAGAAAGGCTCGTTGAACCTGCTGTGGTCGCCAACAGTCGGTCTGAACGTCGGGAAATCAAGCATAATCACCCCCTTACTCCAATCCGCCCCGTCAGCAGTCCCATACGTAACCTGCCCCAGCAGATCAAAGTACGGCCTGCCAAACTTGATGTTAATCCCGCTCCGGTACGTCGACGTCATAACGATCAACTTCTTCGCCTCATCATCAAACAACGCCCTCACGCGCTTCAACATGGCATTCGCCTGCGTGATCGGGAACGCCAGCTCGAGCGTGTACCCCTGGACCCCGACCTCCCACAGCGGCCTCTGGTCCGGGTACAGCCCGCCGATGAGCACGTCGTAGTTCCAGCCGTAGACGGGCCACTCCTCGATGGGCTGGTTCGTCGTCTTTTCGCGGAAATTGGGCTTCGACCAGAGGCCGAAGAAGATTTCTTCGGCGAGCATGTTGGAGGTCGGGAGGTAGCGGCCGCTGTCGAGGAGGGTGCGGGCCGTAGTGCCCTCGAGGTCGGTGACGGAGAAGGTGTTCTGGAAGCCTTGCTGGTCCGAGGTGTTTGTGGGGACGACGTCGTAGTAGCGGTGGTGGAATTTGCGCTTGTAGGGCCACCACTGCGTGGGGTTATTAGTCTATGGGGGGTTCCTTAGGGGAAGGGAGTATGAAGTAAACGTACCCAGAAGTTTGCTGTTGCGTAAGGCGCAATCATGCCGTAGATGTCGCCGTCTAGAACCTCGCTTTCTTCGAGCCTTTTCTCTCATCGTTAGCTTAGTCAAGCTACACCAGCTTCATGACGAACTCACGTCTTCTGCTGAGCATAAACCTTGAAGTCGGGGTAGATCTTAAACTTCATCCGCACAATGACACCCAACAACCCAAGAGAAGTCGACGCAGCCAGCCACGTATCGTCATTATTGTCTCTTACAAGGTGCCTCAGCTCCCCATTCCCATCAATAATATCCAACTCCAGCACGCCCGCCGCAACCATGGAATCCTCACGAATCGAGGACCGATGCGCTCCCATAGCAACACAACCCGCCAGCGTGATGTTCCAATTCACAAGCGTGTATCCCGCCGATGCGCCACGGGCATGGAGGTACTCGGCAAGCTGCAAGAACGTCACGCCGGCCTCGATGACTACGCTTCCGCCCGCGAGATCAAACTCGGAGATGCCGTTGACGTCCTCGGTGCGGATGATGACCGTGTTGGCGTCGTCGGAGCACATTGTGTCGTACCACATGTGACCCTTACCCGAGGCGCGGACCTTCTGGCCCGAAGCGATGGCGTCCTTAACGAGGGATTGGATGTCGGATACGCTGGTTGCGTTGTGGACTGCGGCGACGTCGTTGCAGGCGGGGAAGCCTGGGCCGTCAAAGGTGTTGTAGGGGGCTGCGGTGACGGCGGTCGATGCGAGCAGCATCGCCAGGAGGGAGAGGGGGCGTAGAGACGGCATCGTCGTCAGGGGACCTTGATCGGCCCGTGTTGGAGGCAAGGAATAAGAGAGCACAAGCTTCTGGTACTTGGCAAGGGGTACGAGAGATTAGGAACTTGCTCGTGAGATGGGATGAACCTGTCGTTTACTTATAACAACAACCTCTTCATCACTCTCTACACTGTTACATCTACATATGGAATGAGAGACTGCACACTCAAACTCTCCATCAGAACAAATGCCGCGGACCTCGAACAAGCTTCCATGTGATGCCGGGAAAGACTCACTTCCCTAAATGGAAAAACCTGGTTCAACGGCAGGTCCAACGTCACCTAGGACACCCAGATCACCAGGCCAGGAACATAGAGTTGTATCGCAGTTACACCACATCGATGGGAAAGCTTCTCGCGTACCATATCAGGAAGTAAGAACATCAAAAGAAGGGAAGCCAAGACGGTGACAGATCCCGATCAGAGACATGGCCCGATATGTAATGTAACCCAATGGGCCCGTTGGGGTACCGGGAAGGTAACAGCAGAGAACGCGGGGAAGGCTCGGAATAGCGACGGTAGAGACGGAGATCTTCATTTCTCCTCGTCTGCGCATGTCCGTGTGATGCGCAGGGAAGAGAGTGTGCGGGGTGACAGCGGCACAGCGGATGCGACGCCGCGAAGGGAGGGGACCTGCCAAGGGGAAGTTGAAGAGGAGGTGCTGGTCTTGGGCAAAGCCAGCGATCAAGTATTTTACCATCATCGTCTGATGGACTAGTAGATCTGGAGTCAGCTTTGGCTTTTTATGCATATAGTCTGGCATCTGACGGCTAGTACAGTTGAGTAGTGATGTGCAAGGGGCAGGGTGGAGGGTGTGGTTGGTGATTGGTGGGCTGACCGTCTCGTCCGGACGGACTGACCTGCTCGGAGCGGGGAAGTCGGGTCGGAGAAGCGGGGCAGTCACCGGCCGAATCACTCCCGTGAGGCAAAACAAATTGGGCACCAAATGTAACACAGAGGCAATTCCCATTCTAGTACTGTATCTCGATACCAACTGGACGGCTTGATTCCAGCATTCGAAGCCAACCTAGAAGCTATTTCGAGATCGGGGCGAGGAATAAGGCTGGCCCTCTCACTGATGTAGCTCGTACATGCAACCAAAAGCTTCCTGAAGCGCAAAGGAATATAAATGGCGCAGTAGAAACCCAAGAACAGCCAAGCAGTAGATGAACCTAGCATGACGGTTCATTTGTGGTCAGGTATACCCCAAGCCGCCTTAATGACATCTCTTCCCTCCTGCTTGAGGCCACCACGGAGATATGAATGTTTTCCTAAATCCATTCTATTGGGCCATTCCAAGACGAAATTGGTCGTCCTTTGACAGGCTAGGTGGGCCATTTCTGCTGATGCATCCATCTTTCTATACTCCTTTGTATCCTCAAAGTATAGTCATTAGAATACCCTGGCGCTAGCAAAGAACACTACCATTTACTTTGAATATGCTAATAACCTCAACTTATGAGCGAGTTCAAGCACCATCAATCCAGAAATCAAGGAGCATAACTTGAACGCCAGTGGGTGCTTCTCAGATTTCGCAAATAAAGTCAATGTTGGTAAAGAGTGTTCACATTTCGTCTCTAGCCTCGGCTTATATAATAGGTATACTAAGTTCCGCCGCCGAAATTTATATTATAAAGATGTACACTTACACACACTCCCACCTGCCCGAGGACATTATCCTAGTAGACAACTCCGTACTCACTATCTTGATATGTATATAAAGCCAGCAACTCCATTATTCTAGGATCAAGACCTAGGTAAACGCGTCTCGATCATGTGACCGACGATGTGCACTACGCCTCGCCAGATTTTCCCTTTCCCGTACTATACGTCAAGGCCGTGTGGTTCCAGATTTGTCCTTTACTTACTTACCCACATCGCAATACGGTGTCAAGTACAACTATACGCATATTCTCTATCATCGGAATCTCCCAAAAGCAACTGCTTCGCAAAGACTAAAGTTCATATAGGAGGCGGGAACCCCCCACAACCAAATAAACAAACCCGCAATAAAAAGATCACAAAGTCATTCGTCAGTGAGGGCGGTATGAGGGAGGAGTAAATAAACACCAACTTCTTTCACAAGAGAGAGCCTTTTCAAGACGGCAGGCAATGAAGTAACTTTTGAAGCTCAAGTACCTTGTTCGCTTGGTATTGGAGTCCCGCGGTACGATGTGTTCCTACGTAAAGACTCACGACACTTGAACTTTGCAAAATCGGCCGCCTATCATCCTTCTGCACTCCATTCTAGTTTCGGCGTAGGGATTTTGAATAGAATACTCCAAAACTAGCAATGAGCACTTCAATACAGAGAACAGAACGACCAGATTCTCTCTCCCAAAAGCCCTTATCTAATATATTTTGTGAGTGACCTCTCGCCCCCTCCATGGTCAACAACAAAGACATATTCAGTCCAAGTGGACATCAGATGCGATATGGCTGTTTTTCCAATCCACAACTTCGCAGTTCAGATATGTTTATATACCTTCTTGTTCCAGCTGGGCCGGGGAGGACCAGAAGACGGCAGGATTGAGAAAAACGCTACCTACTTTTCCCAAGAAGACATCAAGTCCTGCATGCTCGACCATGTACAGTTCTCAACAGATTAGCATCTTCAGAAACATTGAAACCTAAAATCCAAACCACGCGCAGTGAACCACGCAACATCACATGCCTCACCCCTCTGATAATTGACGTACACCAGAACAACAAATGACGCGGCATTCCCTCAACTTTTACGACCGAACCATGGACCTCGGCAACCCAGAGGAAAATGTTTGATTTGGAGTACCTTCGTCAAGACATTTTCATGCCTCGTGCATTCGGATGGTGTCAATACGTTCCCGAGATGCAACACTGGCGGGGAACTCGTCACCATGGTGACAACATCTCAAAAACAAGATAATAGACCAAGATAAGGCGAAGGGAACAGCCTTGGAGGAAATGAAAACTAGAATGTACTCATTGGCTTATACGTGGCAGTTACACAAAGATTGGAAGTGGACAGCGGCATGATCAAATATTTGGGTCCTAAATCATCTATTCTCCTAAACCAAGTCCGACAAAAGAAGACAAAATAAACTACAAAACATCTCCTACATTACCCAGTGATACAGTTCGTACAAGTCGTAACTGTTCTCTTTCCCCCATGCTAGTTAGAAACAAATTTCACACAAATCCCATAAGCTGCGGGAAACAACTCCCTAGTCTATATGTGAACCGTACATGTATCTTATGCCAATGACTTCGTGATTTGATGCTGGAAAAGTCACGCTCAGACGGTAGCCGTGGGCAAGGCAGGGAGCAGCGACGTCTGTCCGATGAACCAAGATCGGGTGACGACGTAGCAAACCTCGCCACCAGGCAGAGGAGCGCCAGCCGTGTACAGACCGGGGGGCAGAGTGAGGGTTCCTGCAATGTTGGGGCCAGTGCTGGTGGGAACCGGCGCACCAGTGATGGTGGTACCAGGCTCGGTGATGGTGTTGACGACGGTGACGGACGCGGTGGTACCGGCGCCGGTGCTGACGCTGATGCTGGTGACGGTGGAGACAACCGGTGGGGAGACGTCAAGACGGACGTAGACGGTAAGACGGACATCAGTCGGGATCTGGCGACGGGCCAGACGGACGGAAGAGGCGCGACCACCGCAGCGTTGGAGAGGGTTACCGGGGCAGATAGTGTTGCACTGGGCCTCGGGAACGAGGATGGTGAGAGTGTTGTCGATGATGTCACCACAGTAGCAGTCGGTACCAAACAAACCAGCAAGTCTGGAGCTGGCGGGGCAGGCAGCGGTGCACTTCTCGAGGGTCAACAACGGGTCAGACAAGGCCAGAACAAAGGAGGGGAAGTTGCTGGACGAGGCGAAGCATCCCAAGAGAGAGAAGCCATCAACAGCGACAGGGTTGGGAGCAATGCTGGAGGTGGCTGCGGCAGCGGTGCTGTCGGTCGTCGCGCCGCCGGCAGGACCAGTGGTAGGGCTGACGATGGTAGATCCACCAGTGACAACGGTAGAACCTCCGGTAACGAAGGTAGAGCCGCCGGAAACGAACGTGGAGCTGCCCGAGACGATGGTAGAGCCACCAGAGACAACAGTTGAACCGCCAGTGACGAAGGTCGAGCCACCGCTGACAAAGGTAGAGCCACCGGTAGGAGCGGTAGTGGAACCAGCGGGCGTAGTTGTGCCGCTTCCAGAGCGGGTGGTGGTAAGGCTGGAGGAAGCGGTCGATCCAGGGTTGGCGGTAGTGGTAGAAACACCGGCGGGAGTGGTTGTGGCAGAGTTGGTAGCGGCAGTGGAGGCGGGGAGGCTGGTAGTGCTACCGCTGGCCGTGCAGGAAGAACCTAGTAGAGAGTGTTAGAAGCAAAATCGTCAGGCGTGTGCGGCTTGACTTACGAGGAGTAGCGCTCAGGGTGACCGGAGTACAGTTGGGCGGGACGGTGGTTCCGAAGGTAGCGTAAACTTGACCGCTGTTGTCCTGGCAGAAGCCGGCCTGTCCCCCAGAGAAGGCTGAGTTGGACCATACGAAGACACCGTTGTTAAGGGTGAAAGTCGCGGTGATCGATCCGGTGCTGCCGGAGCGCAGAGCAATGAAAGGCGTGTTGGGGTTGACACTGAGGGCGACGCCATCAACAGTAAGGGTGCCAGAAGCGCCGATTCTGAATACAGCAGCCTGGTTGCAGTTGGTAGGGTTGGTCTGACCAGTGGTACCGACGTAGGTGGTTCCGCCGCTCTGGCGGTTCATGAGGTGCGCCATGATAGGGCCACGCTTCTTCATGGTAAGAGCAGTTGTGGAGTTCGAGAACGGTGCGCTAGTAGAGCTGCTGGTGGAAGCAGAGCTGGTAATGGACAAGCTGGTAGAAGTATCCGTAGTGCTAGCAGTGGTTGATCCAGAAGAGCTGGAGCTGGAGCCAGTAGAGGTAGATCCAGAAGAGGTGCTGCCCGAGGAGCTGCCAGAAGAGCTGCTGCTAGAAGAAGTACCAGAGGAGCTTGAGCCAGTGGAGCTGCTGCTGCCGCTGCTGCTGCTGCTGCCAGTAGAAGAGCTTGAGGACGATGTGGCAGTGCTGGAAGAGCTTGAGGAGCTGGTAGGTGCTCTTCCGCCGACAATGGCGAGGATGAAGTCGGTCGCAGAAGCCGCGGCGGCGCTGGTGACAGAGCTGGAGGCAGAGTTGGACGCGGAGTTGGACGCGGAGTTGGAGGCAGAGGCCGTTCCAGAGGTCGTGCCGGAGCCCGTACCAGTGGAAGTTCCGGAAGAGGCGGTGGAGCTGGCGCTGGCGACGGACGTTCCAGTGTTGGTAGGGACGAACTGGATGTTCGTGTCAGTGTTGACCACGGCAGAAGGAACGCTGGATGAGCTCAAAGTAGTCGAGGCAGCAGCAAGGGCAACCTGGTTGGCAGGTGTCACACTGAGGATCGTGGCGGGATCAACAGTACCGGCCTGGCGTCTGAGGGCGCTGCGACGACGGCTGCTCGCAGCGGCAGCGCATTGATCAGCAGGAATGAGAGGCAAAGTTCTGAGAACAGAACCGCAGAAGCATTGGCCTCTAATGACAGTAGTGTAGGGCAGGGACTGGGAAGCGCAAGCAACCGCGCAGGCAGGGGCGGTAGAAGCATCGGGAGGGTTGACAGTGTTCTCGAAGGGCGACTCTCCAGCGGGAACACCTCTGCATCCCTGTGACTGGACAACAAACCTCTCCGCGTTACCGCTCGTGTTGGGAATGTCAACGACAACAGCTTCGCCGGGCTGAATCTCGAGAGCCTTCGAGAAAGGCACCGGATCAGGGCTGAGGACAGCGATGGAAGACTGGCCAGGCTCAGCCGCAGATGTGGTTGGGGCAGCTGATGAAGCAGGGGCATCCGACGAGGAAGGAGCAGCAGTCGAAGACGGAGCAGGTGCCGAAGAACTGGCAGGCGCAGCGGAAGAGCTAGCAGCGGCAGCAGAGGACGAGCTGGCGGCGGCAGCAGATGAAGAGCTGGCGGCGGCAGCAGACGAAGAGCTAGCAGGGGCAGCAGAAGAGCTAGCAGCAGGGGCCGACGAAGAGCTAGCGGCAGCGGCAGAAGAGGAGCTGGCAGCAGCAACGGAGGACGAAGAGCTAGCAGCAGCGGCAGAAGAGGAGCTGGCAGCCGCAACGGAGGACGACGAGCTGGCGGCAGCAACGGAGGAGGACGAGCTGGCGGCGGCAACGGAGGAAGATGAGCTGGCGGCAGCGACGGAAGACGAAGAGCTGGCGACAGAGGCAACCGAGGAGGATGAGCTGGCAGCAGCAACGGAAGATGACGAGCTGGAAGCAGCAACGGAAGACGAAGAGCTGGCGGCAGCAGTGGTCGATGTGCTAGAACCAGCAGCAGTGGTAGAAGCGGAGCTCGAGGTGCCGGCAGCAGAGGTCGACAAAGACGACGACAAGCTGCTGGAAGAGCCGCTGGTGCTCAGCGTACCAGAGGCGGAGCTCGTTCCAGTCGAGGAAGAAGTTGCGGCAGTGGTGCTTGTCGAGGAGTGACTGGAGGTGTCGCTCTGGGAGCTGCTCGAGCTTGAAGAAGCAGATGAGCCAGTGGAGGTGGTGCTTCCGCTGCTAGTAGGCGAGGTAGTCGTAGTCGACAAACTGCTGGAGCCGCTGGAGCTGCTGGAGCTGCCAGTGGACGAAGAGGACGACGTCGGGCTGGTGGTGGCTGTGCTGCTCGTGGTGGTCGAGTGACTGGAGGTGTCACTGCTGGAGCTGCTAGAGGACGAAGAGGTTGTCGACGTCGGGCTAGTAGTGGTTCCAGCGCTGCTGGAGCTGCTTGACGACGTTGTCGTGGTCGTGCCACTGCTAGTAGAAGACGTCGAAGTCGTAGAGGTCGACGTGGGGCTAGTAGTAGTGGTAGTCGTCGTCGAGTGGCTCGAGGTGTCCGTCGAAGACGAGGACGAAGACGAGGAGGAGGATGAAGACGACGAAGAGGAGGAAGTGGTAGTGGTAGTGGTAGTGGTGGTCAGGCTGGTAGAGGAGGAAGAGCTGGAAGAGGTAGATGTGGTTGAGGTGGTGGTGGTGGAGCTGGCGACTACGTTGAAGTGGATTTCACCAGCCGTACCACCGCAGTTCTCAGTTTGAGTGCTATCACCAGGGCAGAGCGTGTTGCAGTTGCTATCCGAGGTAGTTGCGGCCGTAGGGACGCCACCACAGCCACAGGTGAACACGTTGGCAGCCGACTCGTAGATGCCGAACACGCTGTAACCTTGGCAGAAGGTGTTGCACTTCTCCTGGGTCATCTGCGAGATGACCGAGGTCGTGGCGGTTTGCGTTCCTGGAGGGAAACAATTGCCGTTGGCGGCGGTGATAACGGCCTGACCGACACCGGCCAGGGATACCGCGGCCAAAACGGCCGCCTGCTTCATCCAACCCATCTTGTCGGGAATCTTTGAAGGACGACTGACGAACTATAGCGAGCCACAAAAGGCAAAAGTTGAGACTGGAGGTGGGGAGGGGGAGTATTAAGACGAAAGGGATGTCAACCTCCCTAAAGAGTGACAGGCGCAAGCAAGAACCAAGCAACAAGAACGAATGACTGCCCAACTTGCCCCCGGAAGAAAAACCAGGTTGAGACGGACGAAAAGGAGAAGCGAGTGTGAGTCGAAGCGCGGTGGAGAGAAGGAGGAAAACCGATAATCTGGGAGGAGAATCTTGGCTGTATTTGAAAGCTTCTCGTCGTGAGGACCAAGAATGCTGTTCCTATCGCCTCTTACCCACTTCCATCGATATGAGCGGCATTGGATATCCCACCTCCCTTCCCACCTTAGGGCTGCCGGGGTGAGAGAGAGAGAGAGTGAGAGCATGGGCTCGTTCCCAGGAACCTGGAATGTTTGAAATGACGATTCTCAGGTCCAGCCGTATGCGATGCTTTTCCCCTGAACGCCAGTCATTCCTCTCATGCAATACGGGTCGACGTATGTGGGTGTCTGGCCTGGCTTGCCTCTTGGACGGCCGCCCCTCACACTCCTGAGTCGAAATGGAAGAGAGAGGCGAAAGGGCGAAGAGGCGTTGGCGAGCAATGGGACTCTGGAGCCAGGAAACCGGATGGTCTGGCGATGTCTCGCAAGAGCCGTGGCCACTTTTCACATTTCCATTCATCATTCTTCCCTCATGGCCGTAGCGGGGACTATCTCCTGCGGCTGAATTCGGACAATTTAACGGGGGCCGCTTGTTGCAATGTTGCGAAGCACGTTTTCGAGAACGGCGATGACCTCTCTTGGTGTAGTCTATTGCCCCCGCCCTGTTAGCAGAAATTGTCGTTGGTGTGGAAGCTAGGATGTGTGGGAGGACTAAGGGAATGCCGGCCGACCGCCATACTTTCCTCTACGTTCTTGTGCAACGGCGACAAGAAACACTGGAGCGCGAGACGAGAAGCTTGGCTGTGCATCGTGCGGAATGTAGAGGGGGAAACAAGCCGTCGTTGATCGAGGGACGGAGGAGGCATAGCGGTCTTTACGGTGGATGCGTTACGTGCCCACACAGTTTGCCGTGGGCCAACGGAGCAGATAACCCGTCGGTGAATGTATGTACGTATGTGTATGCCTATGTATAGTGCGAGCATAGCTATGCTTGCCTCGAGAAAAGAGAAACCAATGTCTCGTGAGAATATTGAGCAGAGAAGTCTTGCGAGGACAAGACCCTTCAGCACGGCATCCATATTCGACGATAGTGGTTGTCCCTGTGCAACCAACGGCTCCCAAGTCCCCGGGTCAAAAACACTTGTACGACTGGGCGTCAAGACAAGGGTTGTGACCGAAGATGGGGGGATATCCGTGGTCACACAAACATGTGGCCATGTCGTGCAGACTCAGAGCGGGTGAAGTGGAGGCCGGGACACGTGAAAAGAAACTTGGAAGACGCAAGCAGAGACGGCAGAAAAGAAGAGAACGGAACGGACGGGATACTCCGCCGGCATACCATGAGTCGAGGAATTCCAGAGTCCTGGAAACTGGTTGTCCAAGGAAATGCAAGGCGTCGTGATATTGGAATGTGGAGTGACGGTGTTGGGTGGCGACGAGTTGAGGGATATGCGAGAGGCGCCGACAACTGGTGGCTCTTGGTGGGAGTTGAGAACTTGGAGCATTTTAGCCTCTTCCCGTTTAAGGCCAAGAGGGAAAGAAAGGGTCCAATGGCACCTTTTCGCCTTTGCAAGGAGCGGAAGGAATACATGCCTCGTCTTCTCCCTGCATAAGCCACGTTGCTTCGGCGTTGCTTCTTCCTCCTTGGTTGGAAACACCTTCTCCCTCGCCTTATCACTCTACCTACCTTAGATATTCAGACTAAGGTATCGTTAGCCTCTACACGCAAATGTCACCGCCAAGACATGATAACACTGACCTGGCTGACCATCTTTCCCTTTTCCTCCTCTCCCCTCCTCTCCCCTCCATCCTGTGCCATCCAAGTTCCTAGGCTGAAAGTCAACTGCCGTCCATGCATGCTGTTCTTCCACGGGCTCGTTCACTCACATCGATGATGCATAAGAGCTCCATGTTGCCCACGCCCCTCAATGCCAAAGTTTGATTGCAAACGATCACAGACTTCAAGAGGAACTTGATACCGGGTATCCTAGTGCCTCTCCAGCCATGCAGATGGCGTTGCGGATCGTCGACTCTCATCTGCCGTTCTGGGAAACCTTTGTGCCACCCTCAATTCCGTGCCAGACCCTGTCGATGACCGCCAATTTCGAAACCGAGCAAGGGAGAAGGCGCCCGTTATTGCACTACGTATGCTACGACATCCAGACGTTTCAACTGATTCTGTCAGTATCAGCAACGGCTCACGGCGATAATCTCAGTCAATATAATGCTTTGCCAGGTCTGAAATGGGCGCATGGCACAGGACGGATGCACTGGCACACCCAGGCCTCAATGGACAACATCCTGCTTGTCTTGAGTGACCATTTCTTCTAGCCCCAGAGGCAATACAATCCCAAACGTGAATCCCGTGATAAGACGTCGACAGGTATAGTCCTAATTCCCACAAATACCTTCTTCCACGAACTAGAGGGAAAGCATCGCCTATCCGTCCTCCTCGCTACAGCGCGATTTCGTGCCGCATCCGTCCTCCCCAATTTCGCAGCATTCCTCCCAAAGCTTCCTGATAACTGCCGCTCCTTGCGTGCCTCAAACCCGCCATGTGGGCTGTGGCCGTGCTCACCTGCTTGCCGGGCGGAGCGAACCCTCAACGGATCACGCAAGCCGTGGTTCTTGCGTGCTTGCATGCTTGCGTACATGCGTAGAGACGTCGATCAGCCCTCAAATTCAACGACACCCTTGGCATTCGTCTCGCTCCGGTTTGTAGGCTCAATGTCCACGAGCTGCCCTTCCTTGCCGCTACCGTTGGCCCCAGCCTCGGCGTCTGCCCCGTCGAGAAGGTCACGGTCTTCGCTCCGCACACTCCGTCTCTCAATGTCCGCGCTTCCGCTGGCCGTGCCTTTCCTGATGCCGATTTCGACTCCAATGTCCGCATCGTCCTCTTCGTCTTCGACATCTCTTTGTTGCCCAGGCACGGCGTTCTTCTCCAGCTCCTTCTGAGCCTCCTCCATCCTCCGACGAACTTCTGCAGCCACACGCATTCCGTCCGTGACGATGTTGTCTAGTACACCGCGTAGACCACGGGTGGCCCCTTGAGCCGCAGGATTGAGAGCTGCGACGGGTGCACGTCCAAAGTTGAGACTGGAAAAGGTAGTAAGGGTTGATGTGGGTGTTGACACTGTTGGTAGACCCTCGATAAGGTGGAAAGAGGTCGGGAAAGATGACTCGAAGAATTGCTCAAGAAGTTCATCGGCGAGAACGACCATGCGAAACGTTGGCAGCGTCATGTGCAACGGGTTCGCAGGGTCCAAAGCAGCGTTTGCCGCTTCTGACTGCGCCTTTGAGACACGTCGTTGTGACTGCCCTGCGGCAGGAGGCTTCTCTCCAGGAGGCGAGGATAGTGAGTCCGAGGACGACTTCTTTGCTTTGCTTGGGCTACCAGGAGGCGAATCCATGGCAAGTAGATCTTCTTCATCATCGTCGTCGCCGATGGCGAATGCCCCACTGTTCTCCGTAGATTTGGGCTCTTCCTTTTCTTCTTCGTGGATTTTGTTGTTGGGGTGGTCGGGATCGGCATATTCGAAGCATCTTCTAATGAATGCGCTGACGCTGCCCAAGAACCTTTCGTTGGTTGAGATACCAGGCAGGCTTGGCTCACTGCCTTGGCCAGTCGGCGTGCTGAGCGTGAGCGTAGAGGCACTCGGGCTCAGTGTGCCCTCGAGTCCTCTTCTTGAGAGGAAGAGGAGCGCTTCGGAAATACGTAAGATGCCCTCACGGTCAACTTTACCATCGCCATCATCGTCGTAAAGTTCAAAGAAATACGTAATCGTTCCCATAATGTCCTTCTTGCCCTTGATCCTGGCGAAGCCCGACACTACATCAGCTAGAGTCAACACGCCGGCTCCGCTAACATCCCATTTTTTGAACAATTGCTGCATGAACTCGTGATCGGCAGGTTCCGGACCCGACCCCCATGGGGAAAGGAGGCCGTTATTTTGACGACGGCTTGTGTAGGCATTTCTGTCCTTATCGGCGAATGTATCGCGGCGCGGCGTGGTGGGTGAGTCGGACATCGCCCACTTTGCCATGTTGGCGAGGAATTCTCTAAACGCATCGTAATCCATCAGACTGGTGCTAGCACCAAGGGCCACTCGCCCCTTTTCAACATGTTCATCGCTGGGTTCAAACACATCTCGCGCTCTAGGCCGTGCGTTCTTTGCACGACGTTGTTTTTCCTGCTGAATAATGCTTTCTCGCTGTTGTCTCTCGTACAAGATTGTATAGAAGCGATCGTACAAGGCGCCCAGCTCCTCAGTGGCAAGGAGTTTGCTGTCGGGGCCCAAATTTCGGAGGGCTGTTCTCTTTGCGAAACTCTCAATGTTGCTCAGTACGGCATCCTTGTTCTTCAACCGCAGATCCGTAATACTGCTGTGGGTGATACCCGAGAATTCCTTGAATGCCACCACCATTAACTCTTGGAACTTGGTCACGGCGCGCAGCTTCGGGTTCTCCGACTTGGGGTGTGCTGACTCGTCGAGACGAGCAAAGTAACCCTTGAGGATGGAGATGAAGGCGCCGTCATCTGTGGCATCCAAAAGCTCCTCGCCATTGATTCTCAAAATGGCGAGTCCTATTTGGAACAGAACTTTCGGTCCCTCGACGAAGAAGACGTCCAGAACTCGGAAGGCGAATACCAAGGGCATCGAGTTGATGTATAGTGACAAAAACCAAGGCAGTGAAACGACTGAAAGTTGTACGTCGCTCTTTACCAGATGTTCCCATAGGATAGGCATGGTCTTCTCGACTAGTGACTCAAACACCTTTTGGTCCAACAAAGTTCC